TTATGGCACTTTAAGCACCGTCTTAGTATTCCTTACTCTGCTTTCGGAACTATAAAAGATCCAGAAATACAACTATTTATTTCTCCCCCTCGAAATGTGGCAAGAACTTTTCTGTCACAATTTTGAAAACCCATTCATAACTCTTCTGAATTGAGAAAACTTTGATTATCTACTTCATTTATCTGATTACTTCATACGTAATGAAGTTATCTGTTAACTGGTATGGGAGTACTTTTTCCTCATTCCATTTCAGAAACTCAACAGAGTTCTTTATCATTAGTTCTTTTGCAAGTCACACTTGCATATCATTCTTATCTTTAGTTTCGTCTGTAACTTTTATTCTTTTCGGATTTATTGAGTGCTTAATGACCGTTAGACATAAGATGTATGGTTGATACTAGGAAAGCATAATAGCTACTCCATACTTTTCTCCCAGAGTGGGACACATTAAAAGCACATGAGTCATCATGTCTTTCTCCTGTCATATAGGATAAGTCTGAGAAAATTTCTGCCGCCATACGGGTTACATAGGGATTTTCCCAAAAAAATTCTGCCATGCGGGTTTCATCATAATCATCTTTCCCGCCATGCGGGTAATTCTCTGTAAGGAACATAAATGCCAGAATTGGCTCTTTTGACTGCATATACAATCATCAAACTTATAAATAAATCCGAATGCTCTTTGACACACATGCTTGATCCGACGTTGGTCAAATTAAACACGCATGTTGCTTGTTTTATCTCAAATCATGTTGACTGATAAATCTTCTTCATATAGAATACATGAAAGACATTCGTCAACCAAGACTCTCAATGATCTATCTGTTTTCTTCTCTTGGATTAATATCCAAGAATTCTTTTCTTTTGAAGCCATTCTTTAGGGAGAACATACTCCCTCATGTTAAGACCTTTCTTTCATCTTTCGGGTCACAAGTACCCAGCCATTCGCTTTCACGAATGAAAGCATGGAAAAATTTTAGTCTGAGAAAACTTAGCCAATAATCAACAATAATGAGCATAAAAATAACCCTACGTTGGTCTGGTTAAAAAATATGCACATTAAACTTTTGCAAAACTTCCTTTTTATACTCTAAATCACAGTTGTGGTAGAATTAAAATAAAACTTATTCTTCTACATAACTCATAAACAATGTGATGATAGTATTTCTATTAAACAACTTTGCTAAGAAATAATTATCATCATCAACTTTATTGCAGCGGAAACAAGAAATATATATTTATCTAGTTCAAGAGCATTTCTTCATCTTTAACTCTTCTCTGAAAAATGATCACTTTGATACAAAATTTATCAGAGATTTAAGCTTTGAACATTAGACTCATAAAATTATAGTACTGTTATCATCAACGTTGGTCAGAAAATAACAATGCCATATTTTAACTTTAAAAGAAATATCTTTCTTTTATCATATCGGAAACTATCTGCATCTTATTTCACCCACAGGGGAAAACATTGATAAGAACAGTTCTTCCAATTAAATTTTCCCGTTGGTTCCAATTTAATTGGAGGATAAAATTTTCTTCTTCGCAGCGGAAACTTTAAATATTCTATGCAGAAACAATTCTCCACTCTTTTACTCTCGAAGCAATTTTAACCGGTTGGTTCAAAAAAGCATTAGAGAAGCAACAATTTAATCTTTTACTTTAGTTCTATTCACTTTTAAAGGAGCAATTTTATTTTTATTTGCAGCGGAAAAGCATGAATAGAAAACTCATGAACTTTATATTCTTTACAGAAACATTTCTTTGACCAAATAAAAAATGCATGAACTTTATTATTTTCTTTGTAAAATTCATGAACATTTCTTTTTCTGAAAATTTCCTTTTTTTTTATTTTCAGAAACTCATTCTGTTTACTTTTCTATTTTCTAAACAAATATTTTTGTTGGAAAAAATTTGCATAGAAAAACTGTTTGAAATCTGCCCAAAAACTGGACAAAAAACATCAAAATTGTGCTCTGTGTGTGGGCCGTTTCTTTCACGCCGGCGGTCCACAGCCCGCTCAGCGCGTCGCTCTGCGGCCTACTGCTCTTGGCCCACGGCTAGCTGGCGAGCGTCGCTTGTTCCCCGCGGTGAGAAACCGGCCCACGGCCTGCTCGCCTGCTCCCTTTCCGGCCCAGGGGCCTAGCAGCGAGCTAGGGTTTGCTGCCTGACCGTCGGATTCCATCCGACGGTCCAGCGCGCAGATCGGCTGAACAAAATGCCCGATCCAGCGCCGCTCGAGAGAACCCTATCCATTTCCTCTTCTCTCGCCTCTGTGCGCCTCTCTCCCGTACGCCGAGCCACCGCGCCGCATCGGACACCGGCGACGGCGACGAGTTCCACCGCTGCGCGCTGGCCTCTTTCCCTTCCTTTCCTCCCTCCATTTCTCCCTTCCGCAACGAACCTCGTGTGGCAGAGAGAGAGAGAGGGACGCGATTGCGCCCTCCTCTGCTCCCCTTTGCGCTCGACGGCGCCCTTCTCTGGTGGAGTAGCGGCGAGGCACGGTTGCGCCGGTCGCCGGCGTCGGCAGCAAACCACCGCGCCACGCGAGCGACCTCCCCTTTCCTTTTCTTCCTTCTTTTTCTGTGGCAAAGAGAACGAGAGAAGGAGAGTGTCGCGGCGCCGCTGCGCCCCCTCTGCCCCCCTTCCCATCCGCGTCGTTGCCATCCCCTTCGCCGGTTGCGTCTAAGCCTCGCGGTGAGCGCGCCGCCGTCGAACGGTTTGGCCGCGGTGCCCCCTTTTCCTTTTTTTATTCTTCTTCTTCCGACGCCTCGGCTTACTGATGCGCGTCCGGATCGAGAGGAACGGCGCGTCCTTGTGGCGGCGCTCTTTGTCGGCGAGCTCAAGGCCCTGCCCGGTGAGTTTCTTTGCCCTGTCTAGAGTTCTTGGGGGGAAAGGAGGATCTTTCTTTCTCTGTATATGCTTTGTACCGAATATCTTAGCCTAACATGCTCTGAAACCATTGATAGATGTTGTGAATCATTAGGCTAGATTAGATCGGTGGTCCTACCTTCTCCTTTTGGCTCGAGGAGCTCCCGGTGCCGGCCATGGTGACGGTGGCCGGTGATGGCAGAGAGTTGATCGTGGGTGAAGTGGTGGGAGTACGGCGTTGCGACGAACCTCGTGATGCGAGCCGCCGGCCCCCACCTCTTTATATAGTGCAGGTGACAGGGGCCCGTCACCCATAATGGGTTGAGCACCCCCGATCAGGGCGCGGATCTAAGGGCCCGGTGGGCCGTTGGGCCCACACGGTGAAGATCATCCTAACACATCCTGCTTCGATAGTAAATAAAATTATTTTGGCCTAACCCATGCTGCAACGACTATTCCTTCAAATTTTGAATAGTGATTGAGTCTTCAAGGCATGGCTGGGTTGCAGGTTGATAGAAAGATTCTTTATGCACAATGATTCTAACCATCCTACCTCAAAAAAAAAAATGATTCAAACCATCCACAACTTCCCCTCAATATAAACATTTAATTAGACATGAGAACAATGAACTATCAAATAAGTAACTGAATATTTTATAGGTTTCAACATTAACAGATATTCTAAAACATTCACCGACATAGTTCATAATTCATTTCAACACATAATAAACACCTACCCTTGAGGCATATCGAAAGATGGCCTAACAGGTAACTAACTGAAAATTTTATACAGAGAGTCCATGACATGTAAGACGAGGAGTCGACGGCGACAGAGAATACAAATACCTTCGTCGTGCGCGCAGTTATCTGGTCGAGTGATCGCTCCTTGTTTTGTCACACTCATCTGCCAACACAAATCGTTTGGCTCTCCGGCAGGGTGATCACGGCGCCGCCGCCAAACCCCAGCGTCACCTATGGGAAAAGATTCGCCCATGCCTTGGTCTCGCCGGCCACGTCGTAGCACAGATCCACTAGCTTCTCCGGCGACTGCTTCCGCGGGAGCTTGATGCTCCGGGCGACCTCCGCCACGACCTGGTCCAGCAGCCCCTTGTCGAGGTACATCAGCACCGGGACGGAGTCGCCGATGACAGGGGACCGCTTCGGTGGCACGACGGTCGAGTTCCCGATCTTGACTGACGCGAGCAGGATCGTGTAGAAAGCGTCCGGCGCGGAGGGGATCAGCGGCGTGGTCACCACGCCCGGCTCCGTCACGGCGTCATTTAAAAAAAATACTCGCTAGTTTCATAATATTGTGCATATAGATTTTTAAAAAGTCAGACATCATAAACTTTGATCGAATTTATGGAAAAAACATTCATCTAGAACGCCAAACTTATATCATTAGAACTTTCATACATACTTTATATGTTTGATATTATAGCTATAAATAGTATTTTGGAATGGAGGGAGTATCTCTAAAAACTTATATCATCATAAACTATATTTTAGAATGAAGGGAGTGTCTTTAAAAACTTGGTCGAATTTCATAGTACTCCCTCCATTTCAAAATATAGTGCGCTCGCGCTTCCCGAGGTCGAACTTTGATCATAAATTTAACGAATGAGACCGACTACGGCGGGAGAAAAAGTTACATAATTAAAAACTTCTTTCGAATACGAATTCATTGATATAATTTTTGCTCTTGCCGCAATCGATCTTGATAGTTAAATTTACGGTCAAAGTTGAAGCACGAGGATACAACACTATATTGTTGTGGAATGGAGGGAGTAGTGCCTATCGACTCGACTGCCGTGAGAGCGCAGTCATGCCGTCGGTCAATTGCTCGGTGTTTTGTCTCCGCGGTCACACTCACCTGCCAACACAGATCGTTTCGCTCTGCGCACACGCCATGCCCATGCGCGCGCTCTCTCTTCCTCTCCCGTCCCGTCACCTCAATCCAATCCGCGGGCCGGCTCTTGCTATTCTTCTTCCCCTTTCAAATACTCTACTCCACAGCACACGCTCGGTGTCAAGCACTCAAGCCTATTCATTTCTCCTCGGTCCTCGCCACCACACAAGTGAGTGAGGGAAGAGCTAGATACCACCGTCGCCGCCCGCCCAGCACCAGGATGGCGACCACCGCGCTGAGCATGAAGCTCCTGGTGGACACCCAGGCCCGGCGCGTGCTGTTCGCGGAGGCGAGCAAGGACGTGGTGGACTTCCTCTTCTCCCTCCTCGCGCTGCCCGTCGGCACCGCCGTCAAGCTGCTCGGGAAGGAGGCCATGGTCGGCTGCGTCGGCAGCCTCTACGGCAGCGTGGAGAAGCTCGACGGCACCTACGTCCAGCCCGGCGCCGCCAAGGACGCGCTGCTCCACCCCGCCGTCCTCTCGCCGTCGGCCAGCAGCAAAAGCTCCCTCCTGGGCATGCCGCCGCCGCCGTGCCCACAGGCGAAGGCGTTCTACAGATGCAGCAGGCAGTGCAACTGCTACAGCGACGGATATGACGGCAGCAGCAGCCAGCAGGCTAGATGCAACAGCTGCCGGACTTACATGACGGAGAGTTACGGCACCTACTGTCCATCGTGTAAGAACCAGATGACCACGGCCTTCACGGTCGTGCCGTCGGCCGCGTCCGGAGGCGAGGTGGCGCAGGCGGCGGGCGGCGTCAGCGGGAAGGGGTTCGTGCAGGGCATCGTGACGTACACGGTGATGGACGACCTCACGGTGACGCCCATGTCCTCCATCTCCAGCATCACCCTGCTCAACACCTTCGCCGTCAGCGACCTCAGCGCGCTCCAGGAGAAGACCGTGCAGCTCGGCTATGACCAGGTGATTATGAATCTCATCAGCAGTATCATACTCCATTCGATATGTCTTCGTTAACCATGTGCATCAATCAATCAATCGTCACGTTGCATTTCCTCTAAATTTTGCAGGGTCTGGAGATCCTCAAGGCGTCGCTGCAGTCCAAGACCGTGCTCACCGACGTTTTCCTGAAGCCCCCCAGCAGCGCTTGAAACGCACGGTCCTGCGCCTAACATGCTCATCGACATGGGAAAGTAGCTCGATGTGTCTAGCTAAATTAGGTTGATCTTTTGTGCGGCCATCAGAACTATCTAACGGTGGCATCTTTTGGTAATGTCAAGTGTCCGATGGTACTATGGTAGTAGTTAGATGCTCGTAGTCCAGCTTAAGTTATCAGTTGCTCCAGGTTGTACTAGTACTTATGTGTTGATGCTTGATGTATGCGTTTGCATCGCAGGTAGGGGTATCATCTTCTGTTGGTTCTCAAAATGTTTTTTCATGCGTATCTCGTATGTGTCGACCTGTGTAGCAAGCATGGTTCATTTCCTCTTGTGCGCCCACTGGGAGGCCTAAAATCATCCATGGCAGGTGCGTGGGAATGTGAAGGTCGTGTAAGCGTTGCTTATTCTTGCAGCTTGGTTCACCATACAAACATGTCATACGCCAGGGTAATTTCGGCAATGCCCATCCTAGCATAGCTCACCTTGTCAACACAACAAGGCCACAATAGGCGACCGCGAAATTACTAGTGTGGTGATATTTACCATAAGACGTGCAAATGCTTTTGCCGACACCCGCGTGGACTAGCCTTTCTTGCTGAACTGACAAAAAAAATTGTCCTATGGAAATTTACAGAGCGAAATAAATTGAACAAAGTTAGCGATAGTAACATTAAGGTCCATCAACCAAATCAGCAACTTGCAGAAGCGTGAACGATACCCATGCACTTACCCTTGCCTCAAAATTAAAAATCCATGCAATCACCCATCGGCCAGAAAACACCCGGCTGAAGCTTATTAAAACACAAAACAAACTCATATGACATGCTCGCAAAGTCGCAAGTGTAAGTGCTTCATTTCCACTCCAATCAAGTACCTCAAGATATTCTGGCAAAACAATGACGAGTTGGAATATAGTACTACTAACACAAACACACTGCGTGTCTAGATTGGGCACTGGCTACATATTGCGCCCAAACATTTTATTCTTCCGAGCCGACACACGCCCATACATCATTCAGAGACCATATGGAAGATATGGTAATGGCTCATGCAGATCCCAGGAAACGACCCATCCAAGTGGAGAAGCGGGACCATGCCAGGTCAATGGCTCCCTGATTCTCATCAGTCAAACCCATGCCCTTCCTCCTCTTGACGGCCTCAGGCGATGCGTTCATGAAGGCATGTGAGCATCCAGGGTATATGTGGACTTCATGTGCCACTCCAGAAGCCTTGAGCTTCTCCTCCAACGACTTGGCCGCCTGAAACATCACACACATAGCAATGTCATGTATTTCTACTTCAAAATTAAGTACTATAATTATCCAATGATAATAAGTACTATATGCACATAAAGGTTAAATCAGCTGCTACAAACCCATTAGCCGGTCTGTCACATGTCACATATCAATAGATAGTGAGACAGCAGGACCATAGGTAGGTTAATTTATGCATCTTTCGAATTATAGTTACACCGATGTGTATGAAACACAATGGATAAAATAACTACCAAAAAGTAAACTGATTCGCCATTTGCCACATGGAAGGAATTAAGAGCCTGTTTTCCAGTTTATGATTTCGTACAGAAAACAAATAGACCTGGATACTGTTTCACAACAACGAGACCGAAAAAGCAACATGAACCTATGGAAAGTAGCAATGAACAGAAACGGAAAGGTAAAGAAAGGCCTTACGGTAACATCTGCAAACCCAACAAAACTGTCAAGCTCCCCAAAATGAGCCTGGATTGGAGCCTGGGCCTTGGAAGCATCAGCAAGCTCCGAAGATGGCGTCCCGTAGAAAGCAACAACAGCATCAACCTCTGGGACCAAAACTCCACTTGCAATTGCCAAAGCACCTCCCATGCAATAACCAGTAACACCAACCTAACACAATAGAAGAAGAAAAAGGTAGGCAAATCATTACAATGTGTACTGTTTTCAACAGAACATAAAAATGACATATATATGTTGCTATTTGTCCATAACAAATTAACGACAGAATATTATGGTACACAAGCATATTTATTGTCCTACATTCGTACTAGTTACTTGGTCAGAGTTTATTGGCACACATGGAATAAATTTATAAACTAGACAGTCCAACTCTTCATAAGGTACAGATTAGCACAAATTAAATGGTCGAAGAAATCTATAATCCACACCAAAGAGACATTCAGCCTATGAAACATTTGACTAATGTGTAATACCACGATTTTGCCATTTTAGTCAACACGGCAATTACAACTAGGTTTAAAAAATAAAATCTTACTATTACCTCCATTTGATTTGTCATGTTAGAACTGATCAGATGAATGTATAATTGTATACGCAAATAAAAATTTATAACAAGATGTCAAGTGTGACAGAAATGCCCCAAGGTTCTAAGTTCTAACCGACTAATTGATTCTTTGATGCTTCCCGAAAATTCAAAGCTTACGACTGCCTCCATCCGATTGTCATGTTAGAACTGATCAGATCAAAGTACACGCTAATAAAAATTTATATAATTTCTCAAGTGTGAAAGTAGTGCCCCAAGGTTCTTCTCACCGATAATTGATTTTATGATGCTTCTTCGATGAAAATTGCCACTCATACACTCACATCTGACATAATCTGATTTTTTAACAGAAAATTACATCTTAGATAGTTAATAGGCATGTCTAACAAATTTAGTTAACTACCAAAATCATGCAACAAGACTTGTGCAACCAACAAACAAAATGTATACTGACATGTCACATGTCAGATATTGCTGCATGGAGGTAGCACAACAAATATACCGAAAGGATAAAGACAGCAGCACTTGCATTTTCACTGATCTTGTGTTACTGATCAATTGATTTAACACACTGGAGTTTACTACTGCAAGAGGCTCAATCAACATATTCGGATCAGATGGCAAATAGGCAGAAGACATCACACTTTCTACCTACTAATCATAATGATTATCATGTTACCCACAATAGCACAATTTGAGTAAGAACATCATACAGAGAAAATCTTGAAATTTAAACAAAGTTAGATAAAAAAGAGTACCTTGGGTGATCCATTTTCCTTCAGCCATTTAACTGAAGCCTGAATATCCTTGATTGCACCCTGCCAGTCTAGTCCTTCCATCAGATGTTGTGCTTCAGCTACCTCCAAAGCAACCTTCCCACGGTACAAACTGAAAATAAATAAATAAATAAATATGTAAACACAAAAAGCAGTTGACTGAGCAATAATATTCTGAGGAAGTAGTGAGTAGTGACACTCTATGAAGCATCCGTTTCATAATACTTTATCTTGAACAGAACAAATGGTGCAAAGCAAGGAGCGCATTATATCATCATACTCTGGAATAAGTGCTCTGTATCCATCGCCGATCTGGGAAATATGGATGGCATGATTCTTGACCTCATAGTCAACACCCCACCACTCTTGCAACACTACAACTCCAGGAGCGTTTTCTTTGCCAACAACATAGGCATCAAACGTCTGAAGAAACACAACATCACATCAGTTTATCAGTAAGATGTACCAAGATACAGAGCAAAAGCACCGACATTATGGGCATGCTTGATTTTCTACAGAAAAATTGGCTAGCCCGTGTGTTTGGCATGCCATTAAGTGGCAACTTTGTGAGAGGTGAAATTGGAGCGCACTGCATCCAGAAAATCTGTCTGGTTACGCAGAGAGTCAATTAGTGGCATAAATCTGGGTATCTACTCCAAGACAAGATGTTCCGTATGGTACTTACATTACATTTCCCGACATCTATGAGACTCTGAGTGGCCTAATAAATTACAATCCACCGAGAAGGTGCAAATAAGATGAAAACCGCTACTCGCCTAGAAGGGATAAGGCATCCTCGAACCCTCGATGCGCGCCCTCGCGCAACAACAGAGAGAAGGGAGGTGGAGGTCTCACCGTGTCCTCGCGCTGGATCTGGATCTTCTGGAACTGGCTGGCGGCATCGGAGGCCATGGCGGCTCGGGGCTGGAAGCGGGACGAGTGCAGGGGCGAGCGGCGGAGGGGGAGCAGGGAGGCGCTTCGGAGCAGTAGTCGCGCTGTGGCCATCGGCGCTCCGCTTTACCCTGCGTTTTCTAGAGTCTGCTGGTCCGTCGCCACCACTGCGGTACTGGATGACGACATAGTGGGCTTGGTCCGACCAGATGATGAGGCCGATACGCTTATTTCCCAGGCCCAGTGAGGCGAGCAGAGCTAAAAAAAAAGGTAAATATTAAGAGTTGTTGCCCCTAAAAAACATGTTAAGGCCTCCTTTGGTAGGAATTTCATAGAAATTGTAGAGGATAGAATTTTTATAGGATTTTTTTCTTTAGAGCCCTTTGGTTCATAGGAATGGATTTCTATTCCTACATAGGATTGATTCCTATCCTTCGCATTTTATAGGAAAATAAAAAAGAGCCTAGACTCAATGAAAAAATTCCTTTGGTGTCAACCAAATGACGTCTTGTTTTCTATTCCTACTCATAGGATTTGAGATACATGTCATCTCGTTTCTTACAAGATTCCTATTCTTATGATAATCCTATCCTATGAACCAAAAGAGGCCTAAGTATTAAGAGTTCACACACAAGCAAAAGCACAAGAATTGAATTTTAGGTCGTTCTTTGGGTGACCAGCCCGCACTATTTTTTTAGTTGTAAACTTGTAATCTAGCTCGTTTTATTGACCAATAAACTTGGACACAATAGAAACAGCTCCGAGCATTCGATTTTTTTTCGAGCATGCGAATTCGAGGCTTGTCCTTCTTGGTTGAAACGAACTTCAGTGAAGTCCATCTTTCGTTGATTGATCTCTGAGGGAATGGTGCAATGGTGGGAGCGGCTAACATTGTTTCATAGCATTGACAACCTCCGAGCATGTTTCAGTTGTAATCTAGCTTGTTTCAGTTGTAATCTAGCTTGTTTTATTGAGCAATAAACTTGGACACAATAGAAATGTCTGGAGAGTTCAGGACCCATAACTGGCATCCTAACTTTAAATAAAAATAGCTCCGAGCATGCGAATTCGAGGCCTGTCCTTCGTGGTTGAAACGAACCTCAGTGAAGTCCATCTTTCGTTGATTGATCTCTGAGAGAATAGTGCAATAGTGGGAGCGGCTACCATTGTTCATGGCACTGACTACTTCAACAGTCAGACGCAATAAAACAGCTACGCACTTGAAGATCAACTGCAAGAGCGAGATTTGTTGCAAAAGCGAGCTCCATGAACATTTTTTTTCAAATTCATGAACATTTTCAAAAATTCAGAACATTTTTGAAACCCAGGAACATGTTTCAAATTCATTATATTTTTTGAAATTTCGGAACATTATTTTGAAATCCCGAACGTCTCAATCGGATCGGGAATCGTTAACATTTGTTCTTAAGTTTTTTTTGGGAGAAATTTTTTTTGAAGTTAAGAATCAAAAACAAAACAAACAAAAAACAGGGGCGCTCCACTCCGCACATGGCCCAGCTCAAAGCTCGAGCTGGGCACGTTTGCTCGCTGAGTGCCGAGTATTTAACAAAAAACTACCATATTTCGTGGAACCATGTCTACAAACTATCACTTTATAAATTTGTGTCGAAAACTATCATTTTTTGTCTAATTTTTGACTAAAACCTACCATGTCGGGAAAGTGCCCGATTCGCCTCTTCTAAACACCTTTCTAACAGGATGGGCCCACCTGTCAGCACTAATCTTCTTCCTCCTCTCTCTCTGGCATTTCGTCAAACACTTCATGTGCACTCCGCCGCTCTGCTCCGCCACTTGCGCCGCCCTCCCTCCTAGCCGAGCCGTCTGCTTGCCTTGGCCATGGCGGTCGTCGTCGTGCCAAGGCCTCACCACCCGCCGCTCGGCCCTGCCGCCTGATGCCGTGGTCTCGGACCCAGGGCACTAGGTTCACGCCGGTGATGGGGTCGATGGGCCGGTGCCCGCTCGCCACCTCGAGAAGCAGGCCGCCGAAACCGAACGCGTCGCTCGCCGTGGTGGCCTTGCCAGTCACGGGTGAGCTCCAGCGCCATGTAGCCCAACGCCCCGACGACGCGGGTCGTGGCAGGTTGGTTTCCGCGTCGTGCTCGTAGAGGCGCGCGAGGCCGAAGTCGCCGAGCCGCGCGCTCATGTCCGCGCCCAGCAGCACGTTGCTGGCCTTGACGTCACGGTGCACCACCACCTGCTCCCACCCCTCGTGCAGGTACACCAGCCCGGACGCGACGCCCTTGAGGATCCTCACACGCTGCTCCCACGTGAGCAACGCCGGCGACGGGGACACGCCGACGCCAGTGCCCGCACCGGCACGGGCACTGCCGAACAGGTGCGCGTCGAGGCTGCCGTTGGGCATGAAGTCGTAGACTAGAAGCAGGTCTTGCCCGCACTTGCACCACCCGCACGGCTTGACTAGGTTCCGGTGCCGCATGCGCCCGAGGCTCGCCACCTTGGCGACGAACTCGCGCATCCCCTGCGACCCGTTGCTTGAGATCCTCTTGATGACCACCGTGTCGCCAGAGCGCCCGAGCGGGGGTGGCGAGGCCTTGGCACGACGGCGGCCGCCATGGCCAAGGCGAGCAGGTGGCTCGGCTAGGAGGGAGGGTGGTGCAGGTGGCGGGGCAGAGCGGCGGAGTGCACACGAAGTGTTTGAGGAAATGCCAGAGAGAGGAGGAAGAAGATTAATGCCGACATATGGGTCCATCCTGTCAGAAAGGCGTTTAGAAGAGGCAAATTGGGCACTTTTCCGACATGGTAGTTTTTAGTCAAAGATTAGACAAAAAATGATAATTTTCGGTACAAATTTATAAAGTGGTAGTTTGTAGACACGGTTTCACGAAATATGATAGTTTTTGTTAAATACTCCTGAGCGCCGCATGCTGCGAGGTCCCAGCCTCACGTATTGATTGGGTTTTGCCGTTCGGGCTCGTTCTCCTTTTCCTCCCATCCCGCAGTCCCGCTCGGTGGAGGAGCAGCCGCCGCCGCCATCCACCAGATGGCAGATGCCGCCCTTCTTCTTCCTGCTCGAGCTCGCCGCCCTCTCTCCCCACTCCTCCAGGATCAAGTTGACCAGACGCCGCCACCTCCCGGAGCAGCCGCCAAAATTCCTTTGTGTTTGGTTAATGACTTGTAATACAAAGCCAACGTTTAGTTTCTACTGATTCATGTGTTTGGTTAACGATTTGTAGAAATGGGGATGGTTCCTTATTTATCGGGGTACAAAATGAGAAGCCTGGTTTAGAATGTTGATTCTCATGTTATTCAAAAATGTTGGATCTTCCACCGAATTTTATAGCGTCAGCTTTGTGTGAAGTAAACATTGAGTAAAAACAACTAGAATAATTGAATGGATCTCCTGAATATAGGGGAGATGTGGCAAAAAATAATTTATGATCATTGGTTGTGAATATTGTATTTTCTTGACTGCTAAGCTTATGGTTCATTACCAGCGTGTCAAATATGACGTTGAGAGGCAACTTCTTTTCTGCCATTGAAACAACAACATGGCTGCTGTGTTGATATTAGAGTATGTCAATCTTTTTGTCTCTCAGATTCTGAATGCATTACTCCAATTCATAATAAGATCCAAAATAGCTCCCCGAGAATAATGTCAATTTAGGCAAGATATTTGTGCAATTGAAAACTACTCCGTCCGTTCACAAAAATAAGATCTTAATTTTTCTGAATCAGATGTATACAGACACATTTGAATGTGTTTGTTCACTCATTTTGATCCGTATGCAGTCCATATTAAAACATCCAACATCTTATATTTTTGAACGGAGGGTGTATTAGTTTGGACCTAGAGGAATCCTTCGACTTTCTCAAGGATGTCCGAATGCAATTGGGTCCATTTGACTTTTGGTTATGTTATGTTTCTGTTAGTAATTTAAGTATATTTCGTACCACGGGTATCTGCATTTTAGTTGGTGCTGAAATTACTTGTAAAAGCCAGCACTAAATTTAGATGCAAAACATTTTTTTTTCCGATAGTGCTGCTAGGGATTCATGTTTGTGAATAACAGTTATTGTAAAAGAACAGTTATTGTAAAAGAAACTAACTATGTCCTACTAAGTTTTGATGACCATTTGGCTTTGCTTGTGGACATCCCTATTCTTTTGGTCTGGGCATATCCTCTCCCCAAAATCATGGAAGCTAGAAACACGAAAGGCCATACACATACACATTCTCTTATTTCGGGCTCCCTTTGTTTTAGGTGGACAAATTGGCGGCGGAAGACGACCTGGTTCCTTCTTTGATCAAGAAAGTGGAGTCGTTGAGCGAATCCTGCATGGCGGCCCAAAAGGAGCTGAAGGATGTTCGGGCTCAACTCAAAGATGCCAAGCTCCGTGTTCGAAGGACAAAGCGCAAGTTGAAACTGTGCAAGGAAAGGGTGTCTTCCAGCGAGAAGAAGGTTACTAAGCTGCGGGCGGAGCGCTCTGCCACGGGTAAATCTTTGTATGCACTGGGTGAGTCGGTCGAGAGAGTGCTGCACATTCTTAATACTCTTAGGGCATATCTAAAAGAACCCCTATCCTAAAACTGCCAAATCGTCGCTGGGTGTAGGTTGATTGGCTTGAAGGGTTGAAGTACGTGACAGCAATAGCTTTTTTGCTCGTAGATGAACTCAGTTGCTTTTACAACTTCGTCAGCGAAGGTTATCCGAAGCTTGCCCTCTTGCCTATGCGTGCAGCAACACTATTAGTTAATCGCTGTGATTGAAGAACAGAAAGGCATATTCCGCTGTTTTTTTATCAGGCAATAGAACTTACAATGCATGGCATTTGCTTGCCCCAAACCCAAATGGAAGCCCTAATTCTGATGTAAATACTCTGTAAGTTCCACTAGTTGGAATTACCATCTTCCACGGGATTAGAGGTGTTGTGTCCTGGTTAATTAGCTACTCTGCAAGTTCCAATCGCTGCAACTAACACTAAGTACAAGAAAGCCAGGGCTGAGGCCGGCTACTAGTTTAACCATGAGCTAGCTACCAGTTGGCAGTGAAAAATATTAGCTACTGATTGAAATTCTGGGTTTGTACTAAGTCAAACTTGTTTAAGTTTGACCAGGTCTATTGAAAATATAT